CACTTCTTTGGGGAAGTCAAAGAGATGCAGCCAGGATGCCCTTCTCATTACGGTGGCTGTAGATCGTGCTGCTGTATCTGTAGAATATAAGGCAGCTTGCAGTGCCGTCCTGGAGCTCAGTTGGCCCTCGGAAATGAGTGCACCGAATTACTCTTTTTTTCTCCTCAGGGAGAAATTCAATAAAATCTGATACTTTGCCATAATTTGTGTGGTTGTATTTAGCTAATAATGCCTCATAATTAGCAATTCTAAGGTGAAGCATCACTGAGGAATAAGCTTTTCAGCCATAGAGGTTGAGCCTCTTCCAGTCTTTGTCATACAGTGTATTTTTAAGATATGATTGTCTGCCTTTTTCATTGACAGCATCCGCTACCAGGGAGTTTGGTGTGGGATGTAAAAAAAGAAACTCTGTTACCTTTGCAAAGACATAATATTTCAGACCTCTTGCAGGTTGGAACAATTGTTGCAGGGGTCTGGCCAGATGTGTTTCACAGGTTCCATGATTGCATCATTCATGGGTAAAGAGATTTTAGATTATGCTGATGTTTGCCGGATGTCAACGAGCTTATATTGTGTCTCCTACACTTCCTCCAGTGAGATGTCAAGGGAATCTGCAACGCTCCTATAGAAATCCTGGAAATATCTAAAGTCACCCCCATGTTGTGAGGAGGGTGCATGATGGTGTTGTCCAGGGACGATGAAAAAAAATGAGTTGTTGGTTCAACATCCTGGTCAGAGATTTCTTTGTTCTCCCATCATCTCTTCAGGGGGCTCACATGGTCCCGGTACCGACGGCACAGGTGACTGCTGTGTACCCTCCCTGAGTGGGCTAAGAGGTTTGAGATGGTGTGCAGGATATGCCACCCATGGGCCCAATCTTGCCACTGTGGAGGGAAGGGCATAAGTGCCATCCATGGGTGCCCATACCACTGCTGTTCTTTGGCCCCTGTATAGTATCCCTTGTGTGGCAGGGCCGGTTTGATCGTTTCATGGGTGGTGGAAGAGTGGTGCGAGGGTATGTCTCTCCCTCATCCTCACTCGAAAAAGGGGGAGCAGATGGTGGTGGAGTGGTGGGGCGGCTCGGTACCGATGGTGCTGTGCTGATCTCGGTGCTGAGAATGGGAGAGTCGGGTGTCGAGGACATCATGAGGTCTCTGGGAAGGACGAATTGTGGTATCGACAGCCTTGGTGCCGTTGACGTGGTAATGGTGGGTACCAGCTGCTGTGGAGCTGTTGTCTGTATGGGTGCACCTGTCAATTGTGCTATGCTGACAGGAGGTGGCAACATAGGCTGCAGTTGTTTTGATGTGCCTGGTGCAGAGTGTTGGGATGGCTCCGCCAGTGCCAAGGCATGGGATTTCTGTTTCCCCTTGGTGCGTGCATTGGGGCTAGCTCTCTTGGAGTCTTTAGCTTTCACACTACCCATGATACCGGGAGGTCCCGCTATCTTGGCTGTGAAGCTTGTCAGTGCTGTCGGTACCAACAAGGTCTCTTGGTTTGGGGAACACCGGCAGCGTATGCTTCTTAGCCATCTTTTTAGCTTGGTGGTCTGTCGCATGAGTCACAGACAAAGAAGAGCCCCTGACAGACGCTGCAGTCAGTGAACTGTGTCGCGGGGATGTCCATGCTTCTGGTTCAGACCACCGGCCAGAGAGACTTCTCCATGATCAGCAGTTTAAGCTGCAAGTCTCTGGCTTTCCTGGTCTGGGCTGTCAGTTTGTGACGATGAGGGCACTTTTGAGGCACATGTGGTTCACCTAAGCAGCAGACACACTGAGCGTGCCTACCCAATACTGGGATCAATAACCTACAGGTGAGGCAATGTTTAAAGCCTAGAGAATGAGGCATGCCCCTGAGGGCAGAGTTTCATCCTACCCCAAGAGGAAAACCAGGAGTAACGGTTCAACGAAAACCTATTTCTAGTCAGGAAACAAGGTGGGTTTTTTTGTTTGTTTTAGGTATTTTTAATAAACAGGGACAAGTACATGAAAGGAGTTAACTATATAACAAAACTAGAATTAACAAAGGTATACTATGCTAACTAAGCTCTGAGGTGCTGCTGAATGCTCTGACTCATAGCCAAAGGAGATAGAGAAGGAACTGAGGGAGGGTTGGTCACACAGCGCCAGTTAGTTGCCTGAGGCAGTGCAAGACGGGGGCTGTGCATGTGTGACCCAACCAGGTACTGCTACCACAAACCTCCAATTATAAGCGCAGGTGCACTCAATACCTAAAGTGGAGCACCCACAGGGACATCACTCAAAGAAGAATAGAAACTTTTAACACAATATATAAAAATTGGGCATTTTATAGAAATAGACCCATTAAGGTGAAATAGCGTCAAAGATAGATGCAGAGTATGGATTAGTTCTAAGAAATGGAATATAATGGCATCAGAACACGAAGAATGAAGGCAGCTTTCCAAATTCTGCAATCAAAATAAAAAGACATCTTGCAAGAAAGTAAAGGGATTTCAACTTGAATATTGGGAAATAAAGGTAAGTACAATAGATTGAAAGATGTGTGTCTTTCATTCTAATCAGTTAATTAATTTGCCCACCTGCAGCAGAATTGCCTCTGCCCTTTTTTTTTCTTTTTTTTAAGTTTTTTTAAAGATTAAACTGTACAAAATTCTTCCCTTCTTGTGGAAAAATATAGGCATTACTTCTGTAGGATTTACAGTGCTAAACAAGATGTCATTTTTATAATACAATTCTGCAGCAAATTTTACAGAAATAAGCCCCTATCCAGCAATGATATCTGCAATGGCAGATCCTTCTGCCATAAAGCCCTACTGAAATCAAAGTATCAAATCAGTGGGGCTCTGCACAGGCACACAAGTCTATTCTCCCAGAGCTCCTTGCCACACTGGGTCCCTTTCCTTGCATTTTACTATGTGAGAACAGACAAAAGGGACCTTAATAATTTGAATAAGAGGCTGCTTCTATCATCACGTCCAGTAACAACAACAGGCCTCAACATAATTTCTGCAATAACGTTGAAAAGATAAAACACTGACAGAATTTTTCTTATCTTTTTATATTTAAACAACTCACTGAAGAATTATCTACAATAAACCACAAATTAACTCTAAGCTATTTTTAAGAGGGGTCACAAATGTTTTAAGATTACTTTAAATCTTTTGTGCATTTTACAATGATTATAGTTCAAATTGAGCTGAAGTAAGAAATATTGTATTTCTTACTCATGTTCAGAAAGTATTGCCAGAGAGGCTAACAGTTCATTGTAGATTCAGACAAATTAATGCTGATGGTGAAAAGAATCAGAACTAAAAGTATCTTTATAGACTTCAAGCCTGAAATATCAAGTTGAATTCACAGACATTAATTTAATATTGCTGTAGATTTTCTCTAATTATAATAAATGACTAGAGGAAGAGATCAGCAAGTATAATCTCTGTGAGACTAATACACACCTGGGAATACAAAGATTTTCTTAAAGTTCTCTACTTTATTATCCTGAGGTTAACACACACACACACACACACACACACACACACACACCACCCAGATGGCCTTAGATATGTCGACTAGCAGTACCTAACAAAAAAGAAAACAATTTCAGCTC